GATGCAAGGGCCACCCCATGCCCCGGTCCATGATCAAGCAAGTGCTGGACCGGGGACGCCAAGCAGCTGGCGCCTGGCCTGGAGCTGTGCAAATCCGTCGCGCCCGCCTCCCCGAAACATCCCCTCGGCCTGCGCGGAGGCCGGGCCCGGGCCCAGCCGCGCATGGCGACATGACGGAAAAGGATGAAGAGCCCCGGGACGCGGATCATCAGGTTCTGGCGCCGGAGCCTCTGGAGGATGAGCAGCGGCTGGCACGCCGCACGCTGCTGGCGGAGTGTCGCGAGGCGCTGAAACCATTGCCCTCCGATGACCTCCACGAGATCCCAGGGAGGTCAGTGGTGTCACAGGGAGGGGCTCGGGATTGCGTGTGCCGGGCAATGGCGGTGCATCGCGCAGTGTCTTTGGGCCAAGTGCCAGGAATCCTGCCTGCACCGCCTCCTCCCCCTTGCACCCCCAGCCATTTTGGGAGCCTTGCCTGCAGGCACGCCGCTCAGCAATCTGCCCCGGTGGTGTCCCCCCCTCCACGACCCTCCCCCCACTCCCTCCCCCCTCACAGGCCGGGGGTGGTGTTTGCTGTCAAGGACTACAGCAAGCCCGACACGCTGCGCGAGCTGAGTGGCAAGGAGGCGGCCCGCAAGGACGCCCCCTTCCTGTTCCGGGCCTTCGAGACCGGGCAGCCGCGGCCGCCGCAGCCCGGGTCGAAGCGCGCGGCGGCCCCCCGGGCCTTCACCATCCACGAGTACCTGGACTGGACGGTGACCGCGCCGGACCCGGTCACGCTGGACGACCTCGACTTTGGCGGCTTCCGGGTAGTGGTCCTGTACCCACGCTACCTTTCCCTCTGGCCCGCGCCGGGCGCCGTCGAGGCTGACGTGGCGGCCGCTGCCGCGGAGGACGAGCGCCTGGCAAAGGCCGGGGGCGCCGCCGCGGCACCGCTGCGCCACCGCCGCCTCGCCTGCAGCCGGCCAGCCATGCCGGTGCTCCAGACGCACGCGACGCCCATCTGTGCGGCGACCATCCGCGCCGGACCCGGGTTCCTGGAGGTGCCATTCTACGCCACCCACGAGTCCAAGCGGAACAAGGGTGAGACATGTAGGAGCGAGGGGGGTGCAGGACTGGGTTCGTCGCTGGAGGACCTGTGCCCTGGTGCGCCCCCCTGTATGCAGTGGGTTTCAAACCCTGCAATCGCATTCATTGCCAAGACCACATTCCCCCGCACACCAACACCACAGGCTATGGCCGGGCTCTGCTGGAGGCCATCGAGGCCATCTGCAGGGCCACAGGCATCCCAACCATCTTGCTCTGTAGCACAGGTGGGATCACGCAGCCTCCGCGTCTGGACCAGGGTCGAGGGTGGGTGGCAGGCCTGGCATTGGCGGCGGTCTCCGCTCCCTTGGGCGTGGTGGCTGGGGACTCTTCATGCCTGGCCCATGTTATGGCTCTTTTGTCCCTGGGAGGGTACAATGCCACTCTCAGGAACCCCATCCCCTCTCCTCACGGACACACACCCCCCCACACACAACAACAAACCTGCAGATGACCCCAAGACGAGGGGGACGTGGCAGCAGCTGGGCTTCCAGGTGTCGTCGCAGAGTCAGCTTGACGCCCTGGGGGTTACACACATGGACCTCCTCCACATGGACAACACCGTACAGGTTGGGCAGTGATTGGCAAGCGGGGTCTTCCGGGTATTCCGGCGTGCCCCTCTCCGGCATGCTTCCAGCCATCTTACTCCCCAAGCTCGTCACCCTCGTTGCACAGATGCACAAGGAGGTGCCGCCCCAGCGGCCGTGGCACTCCCTCTGCATCAAGCATGAGGCCTACCGACAGCGGGTGTACTACCTGCCGGGGTACCAGGTGCCAGACCCGGTGCCACTCCCACTGTCCAGCGCCTTTCCTAGCAAGCCCAGCAAACCCACCAAGAAGCGGCCCAAGAAGCGCATCTAGATCTGTTTTCCGAATGACACGTGACACGAGTTTCTTTCCGTTGATGTAAGGCTGCAGCACTTGGAAGGCCTGAGACTGATCTGCTGGGGTCCCCTCAGGGTCCGGGCACCGGCGCTCCTTCCCGAGTCCCCGGCACCTGGCTGTTCATACGCATGGGCGGTAGGTGACCCATGCACATCCCTTGCTGATGGTCAGAGGCACCGGAAAAGCATGCCGGAAGGCTTGGCCACATTGAAACATCCAATGCCTTCGACTTGAGCGCTGAGATCACAACCCCAGCCGACGACGGGCATGGCGCGCAAGGCCAAGCCAGGCGCTGGGGCCAAGAAAAGAGCTTCAGGCACTCATTTACCTGTCGAAGAACTTGTTGCCTTGCAGCAGAGCCTCGATTCAGGGGGCCCGCTCGATCTGAGCCTCGTCCTCCGCTTCCTAGGTGTCTCCCTGGGCAGCCCCGATTCCAGCCCCGGCGGCAAGGCAAGCCTGGGTGTCGGTGTCTTCGAAACTGCTGCCTTCTGAGTGCATGTGGTACATCCACATGGTGGCATTGCCGCATGGTCATCCCCCGATGCTTCCCTCCACTGCACAATGGGCATTTTCGATGGAGGCCCCCATGCATGGCGGCCAAACGACATCCATCGTTGCAAGCCACAATGCACCAAAGCGCCCTCCCCTGTCACATACTGTGCAGGCCGCCACGACCAGTCTAAAAAGGCTCATTCCAGACCCCGGCAAGCACCGCCAGAAGGGGCTGTGGGCGAAGGATGCCGTCGCCCTGGCGCACCTCGGCCCGGATCCAGCAGAGATGCAGCGCGGCGATCTTGCCGTCCCTGTGGGGCTGGTCAACCTGGGCAGCACCTGCTACGCCAACGCTGTGCTCCAGACCCTGTACGCCATCCCGCCCTTCCGGCAGGCCCTCTACGCCGCTCGGCCTCCACTGTCCCAGGATCCTGTGGTGGCCCAGCTCAGGTTGGCGATGGAGGGGGACGGACACGGCCGGGAGGGCCTTGCTCTTGAGACTGGGTCACGATGATAGAGTGTTGCGCCGCTGATTCTGGGCTGCCCAGGGCAGCTTGCTCTGCAGGAGCTTGGTTGTACCCTGCGGTGAGCAACATGGACAGAGCCTATGGGGCGCTTGATCCCACCCTCGTCCTCACCCGCCGCGGCGGAAATGCAGGGAGCTGTTTGCGTGCATGGAGTGGGGTAGGCGGGACCCACTAGACCCTGGGCCCCTGGTCGCTGCCCTGCAGCTGGACCATGCTGTGCAGCAAGACGGGCAGGAATTCATGAAGCTCTTCCTCGGACTGCTGGAGGCCCGCTTCCAGGCACAAAACCCCCTGGATGCCTTGCTCAGGGTGCGAGAGAGGAAAGGGGGTGGAGGAGAGGTCAGGAGGGGCCTGCAGTGCCACCAGATGAGCGTATCCATGGCTGTGCTGGATTGTCCAGATGGCAGTCACTCACCACTCACCGTTGTGCCCGCCGACACGCACTCAGCACCTGTTCCGGGGAGAGAGCGGGTACGAGACGCGGTGTTGCCGCTGCGGCCGTGCCTCGGCCTCCTCTGGGCGGCGAGAGGGGTACTATGAGCTGGCGGTGCCGGTGTCGGGCTTCCAGACCCTGCCCGAGTCCCTGACGTCCCTGCTGGCCCCGGAAACCCTGTCCGGGTCCAACAGCCTGGCTTGCGAGTACTGTGGCACCAAGACGGAGGCTGAGAGGCAGCTGCGACTGGCCTCCACCCCGCCCCTGCTCTGCATCAGCCTCCAGCGCTTTGTATTTGATTACCGGGTACGCTGGGGATTGGAGCGGTTGAGTGGTGGATGTAGCTGTGGCGACAGCGTCCGGCAGGACCGCAAAACAGAGACTCTTGCACTGTGGCTGTCTTCCTGGTATAAAGCAAACCCACCAACAACCAGCACCCGTGGCCCCCGCCCCAGAAAATGGACCGGGTGAAGATCAATGAGGCCCTGGCTTGCCCTTTGACGCTGGATTTTGCGAGCATCCTCTCGCCAGACCAGGGAGCTGCTGGTGGGGAATGCCCGAGGTACACCCTGGCAGCACTCATGCTGCACAAGGGATCTGCAGCCAGGGCTGGGCATTATGGTGCGGCGAACTATACTCGGTGGCGACTCGTTGATGTGGGAAGGGCGTCCGATCGAGCAAAGTCCCCCTGTTGGGTTGTGACAATGAGCCTGGGATCCATTCTGGACAATGCCAAGTGTCTGCTGTGCATGAACAGTCAGACTTTGCATGAACAGTCAGACATTGCATGAACAGTCAGGTTATGCAGCAGGCTGCGGCATTCAGACAGCTCACAGCTCTCCCCCCCTCTGCACTGCAGTGGCGCATGTCAACCACTCCATGTTTTCCTCACAATACCCGGCTGGCAGCAGTGCCTGGTGGAGGTTTGACGACACCGCTGTATCTGCCCTGGCCTCAGGCCCTCGTGCCTCATCCGACCATGGCTCCGCCCTCGCTCTGCAAGCAGCCAACGCCAAACTACCTCCGGTGAGGACAGGGACTCGAAGGAGTTTGGTGATTGCTTGCGTGCGCCAGGCACGCGCACAGAGTATGACCCTAGCAGTGGGGCGCTGGAGCAAGCCACTTTCCCCGAGTATTTGGTCATCTGATGAGTAATCGCCTTCCTCATGCCTTTCAGGAAGTGGCGGCCGGCTCCATCGCCTCCTGCACTGCCTACCAGCTCTTGTACCGGAGGGAAGATGCTGTGTTGCCGTCAGTCGCCCTTTCGGAGGCTGCCGAGGCCTGGTGAGGGGGACACTGCGCTGTAGAACAGTGGGTGGGACTGCGGATGAGGATGACAGCTACACCGCTGCTGATCCAGAGGCCGCACAGTGAGCTCCATGCTGCGCAAGACCAACTCCGAAGACTCATCCCTCGAAACCAGGATCGATTCTCGCAAGGCAGAGGCTGCCGCGGAGGGCGAGGCAAGCCTCAAGACGTATGTCCAGGCCAAAACAGACTTGCTGCAGCGGCGAGGCGAGCGACAGGCAGCCATTCAACGCCTCCTGAAGGCTGCTGACCCCGTCCCAGAGTCAGATGCAGGCTGCTTTGTGAACGTCGCCTGGCTGCGGCGATTCTGCGATGCCGAGCCAGGGAGCGAGGCGGCTGAGCGCGATGGGGAGGAAAGGAGGGAAGGGGATGCCAGCAGTGCTACGAACAGCCTGCTGTGTGGCCATGGCTCTCTTGACCCCGAGCATGTGGCGTCAGGTGAGCTGATGGGCAATGAGAAGCTTGGATGTCTCGGACTATGGGTGAGGCCTGCCGGTCATGAAATGGAGCACCCTCCATTGAGGCAACACCGGGGAACAGCTGGCGCCATGCCCCGATGCCCTCACTCGACCGCGCCTTCATGCTTCATGGTAGGTGCACGCCTTGTATCGAGTGAAGCCTTTGGCCTGCTGTGTGATCTGGCAGGCCCTTGCCGGAGGCTGGGACCCGCAGACATCTGTAGGGTGTGCCTGGGCGCCAGGTATCATCCCAGCTTGGGCGGCGGGGGTGCCTGGGCTGTGCAGCCCCGTGTCTCATCCCCTTGCGTGCTCCTGCTGCAATGACTGCGAAGCCGGCCCAATGCAGTTCTGAGCGCTCGGGTACACGTGTGGCTTGGCCAGGCTTGCTGAGATCAGAGCGCCCGTCCTTTGAGGACTCACTGGATACATCATGCACACTGTCTCACGCAGGCTGCAGGGCATCGCAGCCCAAGCAGACGCTGCGACGCAGAGGGAGTGGTGGGTGCAGCAAGCCTCAGACGCCCTGGCTCGAGCAGATGGCGAGGGTGCAGAGGCGTCGGGGAGAGGGGAAGAGGACGCCTCAAGTGTTTACGTCTCCAGAGCCTGGCTCAGGTTGGTGGTAGGGGTCAGGGGACATTGCAAGGAATGCTGACTCTAGACATTCGCGGGTTCCTTGACGTCCAAGCTCGCACCTCATGCAGCGGCTATGTGACGAAACGTGGGCGCTTCAGCCTGCATGTGAGGCTCAGCACCGGCGGTGGACTTGGCACCGAGCCATTCAGTGGAGTCCTCTGCCCCCACGGCCTACTCCTCCCTGAGAGACAGACCGGCAGTCGACGGGTGCGTGGTTTTGGGGCTGGCGGGTGGATGCGCCAGGGCGGTGGGCCAGGCCAGGAGAGGTTGCACGGGGCCAGTGTTCAGGCCGTCATGTCCAGTGCCCATTCATCGGCGTCTCATCACCCTGCAGCCACCTCGCTCTGCGCAGAGCCGACGAGTTGCCGTCCCTGAGCCGCTCTGGGCTCGCCTGGCAGACGACTGGATGCGGGCATGGAAGGAGAGGGAAACGCCGGGAGAGGGGGAGGACGGCAGCCCACCTGCCCTTCCTCCTCCGCCAGCATGCTTCACCCCAGAGTGCCAACAGTGCTTGGCCGAGAGCAAGAGCCTCGCAGCCGCCAGCAGGGTGGCATCCCAGCAGCGGCAGCCAGCGAGGTCGGTGCTGGCGTGCCTGACCGAGCACCCCCCGCCCCTGCGGGAGGTGGCTGTTGGCGAGGCTCTAGCCCTGGTGCCCGCAGCCTTCATGCATGCCTGGAGGGCCTGGGTCAAGGTGACTTGTTTTTTGGAGGGGGGGGGGAAGCGAGGGGCTTACAGGAGGTGTGTCCAGACGAACGGAACGGTCTGCATATTCCACAACCTGCTTCTTCTTGCATTTTAGAAGTGATTGGCCCAACCCAAACTGGTGAGCAGGGCAAGGAGTCTGAGCCTCCCAGTCTGGCAGAGGCCATGGAGGCTTGCCTGGAGGAGACTTGCCTGGAGGAGGCTGCGGGACTGCCCGAGACATCAAATGCGAGACCCCAGGAAGCCGATTTAGTGACTGAGATTGGGAGCGCCGAGCGTGGTCTTGCCGTGGAGCCGCCGAAAGTCGTTGTCCGCCGTGGAAAGTGAGACCTCATTGTGGGGGAGCTGTTGCAGGTTCGGCTTTTGAGTGGGATGCATTGCAACGCCCCACCTGTTGTGCTTCGAACAGGGGTGCAACCCAAACATCTTCTTTTGCAGTGCAGGGTAAGCCCCCTAGGCTATCTGCTATCCGTGCAAAGAATCGCCATCACCCCACTTACCTTAACCTCACCTCAACACAGATTCTTTGTACCTGCACCTGCCAAGGGTACCGTGGGTGATCCAGGATTTGAACTGCTCAGCCTAGAGAACTGGCAGCAGCTCGCAAACTTCCATGACCTTCCTGAGCACCTCAGCAGGCAAGTTTCCCCTGAGTGGGAGGAGATGTAGATTGCAGAAATTGGGCTGTTACCGTCGTGACATTTGTCGTGGGTGGTGATTGGCAGTGTGAGGAATCCTGTTCTCTGTATATATAGATGTTTGAGCGCACTCTAGACAAGCCATCGCATCACACGCCCTCGTCGCTCGTTTCCTTCAGGGGATTCAATGTCACATTGCAACGAGGTTTGTCAGAGGCAACACATGTCAACAATGCTGAAACACTGGCTGAAGCATCCCCTGTCGGTGTGTAGAACTTGTCCAGGGAAAAAGCTGGATGGCTGTCTACCACCTGGTTTCACTGAGAAGAATGCAAGAGACACAACCTGCTTCTTCTTGCATTTTAGAAGTGATTGGCCCAACCCAAACTGGTGAGCAGGGCAAGGAGTCTGAGCCTCCCAGTCTGGCAGAGGCCATGGAGGCTTGCCTGGAGGAGACTTGCCTGGAGGAGGCTGCGGGACTGCCCGAGACATCAGATGCGAGACCCCAGGAAGCCGATTTAGTGACTGAGATTGGGAGCGCCGAGCGTGGTCTTGCCGTGGAGCCGCCGAAAGTCGTTGTCCGCCGTGGAAAGTGAGACCTCATTGTGGGGGAGCTGTTGCAGGTTCGGCTTTTGAGTGGGATGCATTGCAACGCCCCACCTGTTGTGCTTCGAACAGGGGTGCAACCCAAACATCTTCTTTTGCAGTGCAGGGTAAGCCCCCTAGGCTATCTGCTATCCGTGCAAAGAATCGCCATCACCCCACTTACCTTAACCTCACCTCAACACAGATTCTTTGTACCTGCACCTGCCAAGGGTACCGTGGGTGATCCAGGATTTGAACTGCTCAGCCTAGAGAACTGGCAGCAGCTCGCAAACTTCCATGACCTTCCTGAGCACCTCAGCAGGCAAGTTTCCCCTGAGTGGGAGGAGATGTAGATTGCAGAAATTGGGCTGTTACCGTCGTGACATTTGTCGTGGGTGGTGATTGGCAGTGTGAGGAATCCTGTTCTCTGTATATATAGATGTTTGAGCGCACTCTAGACAAGCCATCGCATCACACGCCCTCGTCGCTCGTTTCCTTCAGGGGATTCAATGTCACATTGCAACGAGGTTTGTCAGAGGCAACACATGTCAACAATGCTGAAACACTGGCTGAAGCATCCCCTGTCGGTGTGTAGAACTTGTCCAGGGAAAAAGCTGGATGGCTGTCTACCACCTGGTTTCACTGAGAAGAATGCAAGAGATCCCTGCTCCAACATACCTGGGAATAGTGTCTTGTAGGATTGCAAGCAACACCCCGAACTTATCAAACCCAGCCCACCAACACACTCACATACCGACAGGCCAGTCTGAGGGTGTCGAATGGGTTGCCAACCCTCCGGTGTCGCAAGCAGCCGTCCAGAGGCGTCGAGAACGCCATGAAGCAGCTCTTCTATCATATGAAGCAGCTGAGATATCTGCCAGGCTAGTGCCGGCAGAGGAAGGGCCAAGGTCTGACGATGACATTGACGGTGAGGTGGGGATGTCTTGGGGCAGACGCTCCCAGTGATGGCTGGGTGAGATCGTCATTCGCAGCCACTGGATTGCACATGTTTCGGGCAAACAAAGCCAACAAGTTCCCTCTTAGCAGGAGCCACCTTCTCTCACCCATATCAGTACTACTTGCTCAATCCATGGTCCTCGTATGCCACCCGCAGCCGCGGCTGTGAGAGCCAGCAAGCGGACACGAAGGGACCGCGTGGTGTTGACCTTGGCCTCCACGACCACCTTGCAAGTGCTGAGGGGTCACGTGTATCAAGCCCTGAGAGTCCATCCCGGCAACGCACAATTCTACCTCGGGTGAGCGAGAGCGCTGTGTTCAAGAGTCAACTTCGCATCTCAGCCGTCTGGATCAGGCTTTCTGGGTTGCTTCAGGTGATGCACACCCTGTCTGCTCACACTCCCTTTGCAATCCCCACCCCAGCTCCCGGAGACTCCAGGGGTTCCCAGATGAAACCCTGGCGAGCATGCGCATCTTCCCCGGCTCCTGCCTCAAAGTGGTGGGTTGTGAAGGAAGCTGGCATTATGGAGTGACACACACACTTGACCTTTGCCTTGCATGTGCACCTCTACGTCTGGCTCATCATTGGTTGCTACAACATGTGCAGGTGGACACTGGCGAGCACGCTGCCGATGACCTGGCCAGCCTCATCCCGGCATCCGCCCACACCTCCAAGAAAGAGGAGGGCGCTGGGTTTGGGGGAACCGTGCTTGCCTCGTCATGAGGTGCGAGGGTGCCTCGGAATGCCCTCGCCAGCGGTACGGTTGGGCTCAGCCCCTGACTGGCAAGTGGCTGCTCCCTCCTCCACACCGACATTGGGACTGGCCAATTACAGTAGGTGGCCAGGTGGGCCTGCGCCCCGCCGCCGGCCCTGGCAAGCGCCCCCTCCCCCTCCCGGCACCCATGCGTGCTGTGAATCTGGCCGTCCTGCTGGGCGAGCCTCTCCTTGTAACCCATAACAGGCCATCTTCAGCCACCAGCGCGACACAACGAGACAACCTCAGAATCAGTTGCGAGGGGAAGAGAGCACAGGGGTACCACTGTTTATGAAAGCCGGAAGTTTCGCCTGCGTGCAGGGCCCGCCCCTTCCACGTACAAGTGTGCGTGGGAGGGGAGGGGGTGGGGTGCCGGGGGTTCCAGACCCCCCCCTGCCAGGCATAAAATGGGGTGCGGCCGGTCGCCGCGCGTCCAGCGTCAAACCACCGCGGCCGCGGCGGCAGGCGGCGCGTGGCCCGGCGGCGGCGGCACCAGCGCGGGCGCGCCGTCCTCCGCCAGCACGCCGCTGGCCTCGCCCTCCCGCGGGCTGTTGGCCTGCGTGCCCGTGGACTCGAAGCTGGCGCGCTCGTCGCGCGGGGAGTGCTCCCCCGTGCCCTCCCCCGCGGTGCTCACGCAGGGGTCCGCGCCGCAGGAGCCGGAGTTGTTGCAGGTCGACTCCGCGCTGGTGGTCGCACCGGGCGCCGCCGTAATAACTTCGTAT